TCTTGGAGAGGGATCTTATCATTGTACATGAATACTTGGAGGGAGAGTATGAAATAAAACAGAGCCAGGCTCCTTCAGAGGTTCTCAGTGATAGAACAAGGGGCAGTGGGCACAAACTAAAATGCAGGAGAAGCCCTTTGAACATCAGGAAACATTCCTTTACTTGAGGGTGGCCAAGCACTGGCACAGGGTGCCCAGTGAGATTTTAACAGGAATAGAGGAGGTCAGCTTGGAGTCCCCATGCTTGGACACAGTCAAAAGCCATCTGGGCATGGTCCTGTGCCACTGGCTCTGGGTAGCTGCGCTTGCCAGGGGGAGGTCGGACCAAATGACTGCCAGAGATCCCTTCCAAGCTTGTTCTGTGGTTTTGTGATGCTGTATGGAGTACAACCATTCATCAGGAAAAGTCAGGATAGAATTTTCTTCTGGTAGGGAGGTAATCCAAAGTCGTTCATGGGAGAAGTGCTTTTAAAAGGGAAACTTTTTATTTATAGAAAGGAAATGCAGTCTTAAGTTTATGCAGTTGCTAGCTAAAATTTTTGAAAGCTTTTTTTTACTAGTACTATTATATATATCTTTCCAATCCAAGAATCATGTAGCAAATCAGGCTGTTAGGCTTTCTGTCAGCCTCTAGTGGTTCAGAGAAGATGGTAAACAATGAGAGAAATATGTACAGTCCCACAGTCCCATGTTAGTTTAGCTTTCCTCTGCTTTTGTGCTTGCTACTGTTTTGATGCTTCACTCTGTGTATATGTAAACAAGCACTAAGGTAAGACAGTAAATGCATCATTTCTTTTCTTGTGCTTCATCTCACTGCTCTGTTTATCATGATTTTAGTAATGTGAAAAAGAGAAGGGTGAGTGCAGCAAAGTCATATTTGCAAACAAATATGATATGCAAGAATGATAACCTTTAAGAGCATGAGGTTCAAATTGAAGTGTAATAATAGTGGAATATAATGAATTGGACTTTTACCAAATATGAAACTATCCTAATTTGACCTAATTCACAGATGAAAAATCCACCAAAAGTTATTAATTAGCAAAAATATCATCAGTAGCTGCAAAATTTGGTGCAACATGCTGCAGGATGGGAATCTATAGGGAGGCAGTATTGGTGTAGAATTCCCCTGGGTTTATATTCTTCAGTAGGCACCTGCAGCCATCCACTGTATGATGCCAGCTGCTGACCTCAGTGAATGATTAATCTGACACAGCACAGGCACTCTGAATTGTTTTGTCCTTCTGTGTTGGTCACTGTCATTTGTTCATGCTGGTACTGTTTTCCAAACTTGTTTTATGCTAAGTCTACAAGTCCAAGACTCCATCCCTTTCAAAGAGGCTCAGGTGGAACAGTTAGTATTCACCTGGGAAGCCTGGACAAGTTTCCCCATCATCTGTTTGTGGGGAAAAAGAGCATATTAAAAAAAATCATGTGGTTCCCTAAAGAAGTACAGTATAAGAGTCAATGTCTGGCTGGATATATTTGTGATGACTTGGTACAAGAGTTGTGGTTTGTGATTGTAATGTGTGGGCAACCAGACTCAAGTGTTTTTAAAAATAGAAATTCCTAAATACTTGGGAATGTAGTCATATACAATTCATTCACAAACAGAGAACGAGTCACCATTTCCCCCTCTCTCAGTCAAGGAAACAGGGAAACTTGATTTTAAGCTCTATGTCTGTATCAGATTTCTCTGTTAAAAATGACACTTTAGCTAACTGTAATGAGCATTTACACAGTGGCAGCAACTGTGAGAAAGCTGAGTCAGGCTGTTTACAGCAACTGTGGTTTAGTCAGCTTTTCCCAGAGATTCAGTGCAGTTGGGGAAAACAACTTGCTGGTGAACCTGGAGACTGTTGCTCTCATCTCTGGCATTTACCAGGTGATATGTTATTTATCAGTTATATGCTGCATGCAGATTCATGGGCTTGTGATTTTTATATTGAAATAATTTAGATAATTTAGTTTTCAGTCTTCAGTTACAAAAGTAGTAAAGGTGGTTCTGATGAAAGACCTTTAGTGATTAGATGCTATTTCATTTAACTTAAGAGAATCAATGTCAGCACCAGCTAAATGCTTTCTTTTACTCTTCTCTCATGAACAAAAGCACAGATCTTGAGAGCTAGAGATCCAGGGTGTGCTGTTTCTGCTGAACTGGGAATTATACAAATGGCAAAGTATGTCACACTGTTTTGTTTCACTCTCTTTTACTAACTCTAGTTTTTAATGTTGCTGATGTATCTTCTAGGAATATTTGTTCTCTGAAGGCAACTCTGATCTAGCTTGTTAGCAGCTGATTCACAAACATGCCCTATATGGGCCATTTTAACTATCCTAGAAACAAAACTGTATTAAAACTTGCAGAAAGTATTTAGAAAAAATATTTTTTTGACCAGAGGCCACACCCTTCTTCCCAGAAGAAAGAGAATCCCTTCTTCCCCCTGCGCCCAGCAATGATTGGAGGTGATGCAGAGTAACCTCCAGGCCCTGGCCAAAACCAGGACAAGGACTAAGCACTTACTGCAGTGCTGTGTCTGTGTGTTACCTCTCCTAAGACTATGCAGTACCCAGAGAGTGAGCCTCCACAGGGCTCTTGTGTAGCGCAGGGAGTTTTTCTTACCATGAATTTGGAACTGTTACATTATTCATGAATAGCAAAGCCATGAAGAAATTGTGCTGGGGGCTAACTAGGATCTCTGTTTGTGTCTTAGTCAACTCTGTATCACAGGAGAGGAAACTGTGGATAAATTGAACTGATTGAGAGTCCAGGCTTCAACATATGCTCAAATCCAACACGTGCTAGCCAGCTGTGATGGACCATTTGGAACATAGGCTCCCCCTTTCATTTTTAAAAGTGATGCCTTCAGACATCAGGGTGGCAGGCTTTTGTCTTCTGTGTCCCAAATAAGAAGGAATTGCCACACAAGGGTTTCTTCCCTTCAGTGATACATGGCAGTGGTTTTAGAAATTAGCAATCCTGAGAGCAAAGAAAGTAACTGTGCTTTGAAGGTGATTTACTTTTCCAGCCACCTTTTACTTTCCCTGCTTGTGTCAGGTTATTTGTGCAGCATATGGACCCCTGCCTTATTAAACTTACTTGCATAAGCAAACTAGGTATTTTTTTGAGAAATATTTCAGCTAATAAAATGAAGGACATGCTATCCAAAATTAATAGCATAAAAATGGGTAAAAGCAAGCTCAACTCTGTAAAATGTCTAACACTTCTAATATGTCATGTATGACTGGTCTGGCAGAAGGATTTCAAGTGGCAGATTCAGAGCAATATGGTTTGCAGATGCAAAGTAGGTACTGCTTTGAATAAAGTAGATACACCATGATGTGATGGTTCATTCCTAAAGCCACCATGAGGGAAAGTAGGGACCACAAATGAGTAGAGTTGTGAGGGTGTGAATTTGAAGTTTCTCTGTTACACACAGAAGAAATTTCTGGGGAGCATTGAGCTTTCAATAAACCAACTAAAACTTCACACTTCAGTTTGCACTTTGTTTTTATTTTATGAGAATCTGCTTTTTCTGCCTTTCCCCTGAAATTCTTGTCTTTCTCCTTAAAGGTTTGCTCTACTTCCCTTTGTCTTTTTAATGAACTTTGTAGTGGGAGAGTGCTCTGCCCTGGTACAGGAATCCTGAGAATACAGAGAAAAGTTGTGTGCCATTTTAAAGGGAATAGAGGAGGTCAGCTTACATCATAAGAGGCCTTGTTACTTTATATTCAAAAAGAAATCTGCTCTAAGCACCTATTATTAGCCTTTCTTCAACCATGCTTCCAACTTCCAAATGTAGGAACTCATTCTCTTACAGAAAGTTTTCTCTAAGGATTTTGGGGGATTTTTTTATTTTTTTTATGCAAACGTTGTTTCATATAATAAAATTTACAATGACAATGAATAGCTAAAAGATAGTTAAACAACAGAACAAATCTCCTCAGTTTTATGAATACACTGAGTTTCTGCCTACTTTCTCCAAAGTGTAGCATGCCATGAAAAATCCTGAAATCTGTCTCATGGAAGTTTTTTGTCAACAAAAAAGTAATTGAAATTAGTGAGAGCACGACATAAGGGAAAACTTAAAATCTGGGAATTGCACATGCCCCTTACAACAAACAAGAGGAGTTTCAGACAGGGAAATAGGAACTTCTCAAAAACTTCTAATATCCCACTTTAAGCAGAAACTTTTGATATTTGAGAACTTGAGTCTCACAGAAAGAAAACTAAATACAGCTCATGGAACATCCTGGTGCCAGTAGTACAATGCGTTACAGAATTTAGACTCCCAACTTTTCTTTTAGAAGATGTACAAATGGTTTTTTTTAGCTCTTACTGAAGAAATGAAAATGTTTGAGTTTGCCACACTCAATACATAAAACCAAAAAATGTGGCTGACAATTTTCTATCTCTTTCTCTACTTTTGAGCATGTCTGTAGGACCTCAGTAGTTTTAAGTTAAAGATTTAAGGCTTAAGGAATATTTTGAGTTTGTAAGAAACAATTTATTTGCAGTTTTCTGGCCCGTTATTTCAAATGACTGGCCTTTTGAAATTCTGACCACCAGATCTATAAAAAATATAAGGAAAATATTATGCTTGTTACTTCTGCATCAGAGAAAATTTTGAGAATGACAACTTTTTTTTGGTTGAAAATGAAAGTAATGTACAATACACCTGAAGTTTTAGACTAAAAGTGTATTTCAGTTTTATCAGAACACATGGAAGTCTCAGAATGAATTCTACCAGACCAGAAAGGCTCAACTAATTTTAGTTATGTTGTGTGAAGAGGTTGTCTCAAAGAACTCTTTTTTCCCAAGCTTTCAGAAATTTTAGTATATTTCGGAGCTTCTGAAACAAATTTAAAAACAGGCTCTTAGATGACTTTTCCACCGCAGAGATCTTCTACTATGACAAAAAACTAGTGTCAGGAAAATTTTCTCTTTCTAATGAAGATTATTTTTTCTTCCTCTTTCCGACTTCCCATTTCCTGTCAAGTCTGAAGTGTCTTGGATCCCCAACAAACACTACTCTGGGATTTACGGGCTGATGAAGTTGGTTCTGACTAAGACTCTACCTTCCAATCTTGAGCGAGTCATTGTCCTCGACACAGACATTACATTTGCCACTGACATTGCTGAGCTATGGGCCGTCTTTCACAAGTTCAAAGGTATTTTAATGATTTTTTTTACTCTCCTTATTTGAGTGGGGGGGGAGAACGATGAGGCAAGCAATACAGCGGGTGTGAAAGGGCCAGCTGAGGTTTGTTAAAATGTTTTCACTCTCAGTTTTTGGTGTTTGAATATAATTATTCTCTTTGTGAGCTCTTTTCTTAATGATGTTCTGTGTAGAATAACTGACAACACCAATGATATATGTAGTTTGTTTTATTGGTCTGATTATATGGGGCAGGTGAGAGCCTGACAATGCAGTAGATGATAAAGAATTATGAGCATGCTGTAGTTATGTACCGTTCAATACCTCTTTGAAGAGCTTGGGTTTTATTATTTCTTTTATTAATAAAACTGAATTATTACTTTCAGTGTAACTGTTCCATGTAACCACTGAGAATGAAGGAAGCTGGGAATTCTTGAACCAGGGAGGAAAATGAAGGGAACACAGTTACACATAGAATAGAAATAAGTTGCTGTTTGGTCCTCTTAATGAGTTGATAAAGGGGTCTGGATTCTAAGGAACTAAAATAGTTTTCCCTACCTAGTCCCATTTCCCACAGCTCCTTGAAAATGTACTTCATAGTCGTTCTGAGAAGGGAGACTTCCAGAGTAACTGTAAGGAGATGATTACAAAGAAGTTCCCCACTACCCTGTCACAAAGCAGAGCACTCTCAGGCTAGCACACCACTAAAACCATTTAATTCTCCCAGGTTTCAGTGTTGCCAGCTGTTCAGAGTCAGAGACATACCCTGTTGTTCTTCTCTTGCCCTCAGCATATATATAACAGTGCTGATAAGTGCAGAGGCATTCCAGCATCCCGATTTAAAGGTTTACAACCCTGCAAAAGTGTAGCCTTGATGCGTTTCATCAGCTCTCTCAAAATCATCTCAAGCAAAGTCAGCCTAAGCAAATGGGAGTATTTATTTAGAGAAGCCAAAATACACCACTCCATTAGGAGGGAGCCAGGAAAGAGCACATTTACTGTACTTATCCCCTGCTGAAATCCACAAGGCCTTTTTTTCCCAGTACCCAGCTCTGGGGCAGGACCTGTTATCTTCAGCTCTGTGTCAAGGACTGGGTTCTAGTGCTTACTTCTTCATGCATTTGTTTCCATTCCCTTCTGTGGAATTCAGTGTAACTGATGTCTTTTCAGCAAGCCAGAAGCATTCACCTTTTTTCTTAATTTAATTATTCACAACCTTTCTTCATTAAGGAATATAATGTTTTTCCTCCTCTCCAGGTATTGTTCAGACCTCTTAACCAAGCCTTTTCTCTCCACTGAACCTTGAGTTTCATGTAAACATATACCTTGACAACCATAAGTAACATAAATGTAGAGGAAGTAACGTTATGCTGTTGTACTGTTTGCAGCTGTCCCATTAATAGCAGTATTTTCCTGACTATATGGTGTAATTTCACATCACTACAGGAAAAGAAATGTGGATAAACAGAACTTGGGTATAGAGGACTGCATGGTCAAAGAGAGAAAAGCCTGAATTGAGACAATGATTGTCTCTTTGCTTATAATTTCTGTCATAATTTCAGTGAAGATCCCTTGCTTTTTTACTGGGGGAATAAAACCAAGCATAAAGACTGCTTGTAAAAAAAAGAACATGGAGCAGAGACAGATGTAAGATTGAAAGAAAATACAGACAAAAAATATGGAAATATGGAGAAGAATAATTAATGGAGATAAAACTTTGGAGTAAATCAGTCTCCATAGAGCTAGGCAAGAATGTTCATTTGATTACAGATGTGAAAAACTCTAACTTACACATGGCGACAGAATTCCTGTACTACTGCTCTCATAACGTACATAGCACAACTCCCAAATGCATGATTTTGTAGGTTGTCCCGTGTGTCTTTTCAATTCCAGCTGACCACCTGCTTCTCCACAGATTTTAATCCTGGCAATAGATTGGTCAGCGTCTACATTTACTCATCTCCCAGGCAGTTGTGCACAAAGAAAGAGTAGATAAGACAGTGTTATAGCCCCAGGTGTTGAGCTGGGGTGGGAGAGGACTTTGGATCCTAAATGCTGCAGAGAGAGGAAGTGTCCAAGCACAGGCTGGTTCACCAACCTGTGTCATAGGCTGCAGTTCCATTAGCAAAGATGACCTCGATGATGGTGACACCAGAATCGAGTGTTTAAAGGTAAGAGTCAGAGGGAAAGCCAATAAACCAAACACCGTGGTGAGAATCTGTTGTAGGCCACTCGAGGAATGAGGAGGCAGGAGAAATATTCTGTAAGCAGCTGGGAAGTCTCACAGTTGCTAGCCTTTTTTCTTGTGGTGGGCTTGAATTTACCAGAGAGGTAAGTTGAACTTGCTTAGCAGAGGTCTGTCACTGTAGGACACGGAATGATTCACACGGACACGGTTCAGTGTATGACAGGGAAAAAGAAGGCTTTTATTTTTGTGACTCTAGTATTTATAGATTCTCAACAATGACCAGGGATTGGATAGTTAGGTTACCACCTTCCTAATCACACTGGTCATGAGAAACATCCATCAAAAGATGTTTCTTTGAAAGAATGTATAAACATCTATGTTTATAGTTACTTTCCTGGGAAAGTGGCTAGAAACTATGAAAACAAGATTAGAAGGCTTAATTTTCAGGGCGACAGAGGTCTGCTGGAAATACAGCACTTGGGAGAGGAAACAGTCCAGGAAGTTCCTGGAGTGTGTGGAAGATGATTTCCTGACCCAGCTGGTGAGGGAGGAAGCCAGCCAGGGGCAGTGCCTGCCTGAATCTGTCAGCAGATTCTAAGTAGGGAGGTCCCAGTGGACTAGAGATTAATAAATATGATGCCCATTTACAGGAAGGGCTGGAAGGAGCATCTGGGGAATTACAGGCCTGTTGGCCTGACCTTGGGCCAGGGAAGGTCATGGAACACATCACCTTTAGTGCTGTCATGTAGCATGTGCAGGTCAACCAGGGGACTGGGCCCTGGCAGCATGGGTTTGTGAAAGGCAGGTCCTGATTGACCCATCTGATCTCCTTCGGTGACAAAGGTGACTCTTAGTGGATGACGGAAAGGCTGTGGATGTTGTCTGCCTAAACTTCAGTAAAGCTTTTGATGTGGTTTCTCACAGCATTCTCACAGAAACTGGCTTCCCATGGCATAGATGTATTCTGTGCATAAAAACTGGCTGGATGGCCTGTCCCAGAAAGTTGTGGTGAATGGAGATAAATAAATTTGGCAGCCAGTCACTAGTGGTGTTTCCCAGGGCTTGATATTTGGGGCCTATTTGACTATATCAATATAGTTTGATTTAATACCTTTATCAATGGTCTGGACAAGGGGATCAGGTGCATGCTTGGTCAACAGCAAGTTGAGTAGGAGGGTTGATCTGTTGGAGGGCAGGAAAGCTCTGGACAGGAAAGATCTGGACAGGCTGAAACAATGAGCCAAGGCCAGTTCTGTGAGTTTCAAGAAGGCAAAGTTCCAGGTCCTGCACTTTGGTCACAACAACCCTATGCGGCACTACAGGTTTGGGGCAGAACGGTTGGAAAACAGCCCAGTGGGAAGGGATCTCTGAGTGCTGGTCACAGCAGCTGAACGCAAGCCAGGGTGTGCCCAGGTGGCCAAGGAGGCCAGTGGCATCCTGACCTAATGGGCAATAGTGTGGCCAGCAGGAGGAGGAGGACAGGGACTGTCCGTCTGTTCTCAGCACTGGTGAGGTCAAACCTCAAGTGCCATGTTCATTTCTGGGCCCCTCACCGCAATAAAGACACCGAGGGGGTGGAACGTGTCCAGAGAAGGGGAGCAGAAAATTCCTTCACAGAAAGGGTTGACAAGCATTGGAACAGACTGCCCAGGAAGTTGTGGGGTCACCATCCCTGGCTCCATTTAAAAGCTGTGTAGATGTGGTGTTTAGGGACAGGGTTTGGTGGACTTGGTAGTTTTGCTTTGGTGGTAGGACATAAAGGTCTTTTTCAACCCAAGTGATTGTATTGTTCTATGATTCAATGGAAATGGAAGGAAGGGCAAGTAATTTGGAGAGATACTGATACTCTTTTACCACTTTGTAAAAGTTTGGCCTAAATTCTGTGGTGATTCTCAATTTTTCCTAAGTGTCTTTTTATTTCTCCTGCCCGCATTACAAAAGATTGAAAGATTGTCTCATGTCATGAGCCCCAAATATTCCTCCAAAGGATATTTTACTAAACTAATGTTTTAATCTTTGTTTCTCTCTCAGAAGTCCCAGGTAAGTTCATGAAGATTTCTTGGGGGCAATGTACAATGTTTGGTGAAATATTACATAAACAGAAGAATAATAAAACTCCTATGAAGGGAAATGCTAGGCTCCAAAGGAACCTGTCATTACGCCCAACCCCAGTTAGAAGGGCAGCTTTAGACCCACTGGGTCTCCTTCTAGAAATGTTCTAAAAACCAGCTGCTGGCTAGAAGCCACCATTATAAACCTGCCTATACTAAGATGCTTCTTGAGCAAATTAAAGAATTTTTCACATCAGTGCAGGAAAGGAAAGAGCTTCTGTCTGCAGATTGCTGCAAGATAACTGATGAGGCAGTCCAGCACAGCCTTTCCCAAATTGCAGCCACATGTAGAGAGGAGGTCCTAGAGTCTGTGATTCTTTCTGTGCCTAGGAAGAGTTTCTTCCCAACAAAAACAGTAATAAAGGGAGACCAGTAGCTCAGATTCGTTATTTCTCGGACACCATGCTTGGAAGAAACTCAGATTTACAACTGTCTTATAATTTAACCAGATCTGATTTGCTGTGTAGAAGAGTCTACAATGTCTCTTAAATAGCACCTGCAATAGCCAGAATTCTTGTTCTGCAAAGGTTCTTATTCCAGTCATCTTAAGAGTTGCTGGAAAGATCAGACCCTTACATAGTAACTTAATATTTTAGGTGGTAAAGGTACTACTCCATTTGCTCTGTAGATGGAAGAAAGGCAGTAGGATTTCTTTGTAAATTATTGCTCTTCTGCCCATTTCTGATAAGCTCTTTGCATACACCCTTACAATAA